GTTAAGAATAATCACCTTTGACCAAGGGAGGCCACCTGAAAAATCTCCGATAGGAACAGATGGCCCAGATGTCTGAGTTCTACATCCAGAACAGATTCAAGACTACTGCCTGAGATGATCAAGACTCACAGGATACTCCAGTCATGACTTGATTATAACTCTAAATTTTCTTTAGGTCCCCTTAAGACTATCAGCGCCCCCAACTAGCAGGAAGTAGCCTGAAATACTACGCCCACATTCCCAACAAATGGATTATGGGTATTTTCCTTTGTTTAAAAAAAAAAAGAGAGGGAAATGGTGCGGGAGAATTATCTGTATTCTGTCAATCATATTTTAATAAAACGCTGATTGGTCAGGCAGGCAGTATAGGCGGGTCAACCAGACAGGAAGTAGAGGCGGGGCAAAGAGAATAGAATAAGGTTATGGAGGAGGAAGGTCCCTCCGGCACTCCTGCGCAGATCACTGAAGAAGCAACATGTAAGCTGCCCCCGCTGGAAAAGGTACTGAGCCATTATGGCTAACATAGATGAGAATAATGGGTTAATATAAGTTATAAGAGTTAACAAGAAGCCTGACCTAATGAGCCAATCAGTTTATAACCTTATGGAGTCCTGTGTGTGATTTTCTTTGGGGCCTGCCTGCTGGGGGGTACTGGGCGGGACAGAAACCCCAACAAGCCGGCCCTCATGTTACACTCCTCCTCTAGACTCTAGGCAGGGACATGTACCTGTACACACATGACTATATCCACCTGTCTCTGCCTCCTGAATGCTGGGATTAAAAACATGCCAGGCTGAAATACCTTTTCAAACTATTCATATCCACCAATGCTTCTTCCTTTCCATCCCTATTATTCAATGATTAATTATGACCTTGACAATTCATAAGAAATATTTACCTGCATTTAAAATACATAGTGCCTTCATGGCTCCCATCATGCTTTCCTCTCTCGGGATTGTCCCACTCAACTCCTAACCAGAGTCCTAGAGAAACAAAATGAAAAAAAATGACTGACAAAACATGACAAATGCATACTCTATTCTCCTACAAGCAAACAAAATGTGTAACAGCAGCTACATCACACACAGCTAGAATAGGGAATGTCTCAAGAAGTCCTGGGAACTTCACTCAAAGAATGCAATAAGCATGTATGAACCAAAAAGCCAACAAAACCCCAACAGCAGAAAACAAGAATGGCTAAACTATACTGGGTATACTAAGCATAAATGAATCTTTTTTGTTTTGTTTTTTGAGACAGGATTTCTCTGTTTAAACTGTCCTGGCTGTCCTGAAATTCACTCTGTAGACCAGGTTGGCCTCAAACTCACTGAGATGCACCTACCTGCCTTTGCCTCCCAAATGCTGGTATTAAAGGCATGCGCCGCCACTGCCTGGTTGCATGGATGAATCCTGAACACATGATGCCAAGTGAAGGAAACACCACGGAGGACTAAATATGGTCTACCCCACACAGAGGGTACAGGGACCTCTCTCTTTAGTATGTTCTCTGGTCACAATCTCTGAGAATTCTATAAACCTATAGCAGAATGTTAGTAAGAAATCCTCAAAAGACTAGGTGTGGTGTGCAAGCCTGTAATCTAGAACAGGCAAGAGGAACTATTGCACAGCTAAATACTGTTTCAAAGAAAAAGATAATAAATCAGGCCAGAGAAATGGCTCCGTGGTTAAAAGTACAAGTGGCTCTTGCAGAAGACCCAGGTTCAGTTCTTAGAACCCACATGGCAGCTCATAACTGTCTGGAATCCCAGTTCCAGGGGATCTGGCACCCTTTCTGGCCTCTGCAGACACTGTATATGTGTGATACACATACATATAATGTAGGCAGCACACATGCACAATAAAAATCTTTTAAAAAATTCTATACTTAGAAGTTAAGCAATGTTATTTTAAATTACTTTAAGTCAAAAAAGAAATCATAAGGGGCTGGAGAGATGGTTCATGGGTTAAGAGCACTGGCTGCTTTTCTAAAGGCCCTGAGTTCAATTCCCAGCAACCACATGGTGGCTCACAACCATCCATAATGAGATCTGGTGCCTGCTTCTGGCATGTATGACTGACTTGACTATACATGCAGCCAGAACACTGTACACATAATAAATAAACAAATAAATAAATGAGTGAATGAATGAATGATTAAACTCTAAAAAGAATCACAAAACAAACTAGAGAAATATTTTGAAAGGGATGAATAGAAGTAACTCAGTAGTTAAAGCAGTTGAGTGGGCATGGATTGATAACTATAATGCTAGCCTTAAAGGTGGAAAGAAAGCAAGCTGGCTAGCAGGACTGGTCATATTGGAGCCCTCTGAATTACAGACTCGGTCTTGATGAGTAAGGTGGAAGAGCCATTAAGGATGAGTCCCTAAACCAACCCTGGGCCTTCACATGCCTGAGACTAAATTCAAAAGTAACAGACTAATTTCTTTGGTGGAGGACAATGCACACATAGAAGGGCTGTGGCCTCTTCCTCTACAGTGAAGAGGAGCTGCTAAAGTCAGGCATGTGGCAGGTCTTCCAGAGAGGTCCTAAGCAGCCACCATGCACTTTCACCACTGTGAAAGGAAAGCCTGGATTGTGTTGGAAACGCCAGGATATTGACGATGCTAGAGCCATAGGAGATAACGGCCAGGGAGAGCTGCAGATAGGAACTGGAGCCAGCAAAAGAAAGAAGTACGTTACAGGTAGCAGAGCTCGAAGAGCAGAGCCATTAAGCCTTTTGACAGAAGACTTGGAGGCACAGTATTTACCGTATTCCCTAATTACGACTCCATTCCTCTGTTTTGGAATGGAGTCATATCCTGGTAATATACATTCTGTGCCACTCTATGTTAGAAGTATGTTATCTGCTTTTGGATTTACAATAGGTTACAATTAAGAGAATCTCAGAATGAGATTTTAGAATTTTAAACAATATTGAGACATAAAGAACAAAGGTGACTTTTGAAACAGAACTAAATGCATTTTGCATTATTTTATTGCCACAAGCCTCTGGGGGCTCAGAGGTAAAATGTGGGTGTGAATGAGAATGTTGAGACAGATTAGAAGGTGTGTCCCTAGGAGTGAGCGCTGAGGTCTCAGAAGACATGCCATTCTCAGTGTGTGCTCTCTTTCTGACTCCTGCTTTAGGATCAAGATGTAAGCTCTCAGCTGTTCCTACTGTCATGCCTTTACTCTTCCATCACGAACTCAAACCCTCTGAAACTGTAATCCCAATTAAAGGCTTTGACGGAGGTGGGTCATCTGTCTGTGTTACTTTAATTGGTTAATAAAGAAACTGCCTTGGCTTTTGATAGGACAGCAGCTTAGACAGGCAGAGTAGACAGAACAGGAAGCTGGGAGAAAGAAGTAGAGTCAGGTAGACGCCATGGCTCTCCTCTGAGATGGATGTGGGTTAGAATCTTCTGGTAAGCCACGACCTCGTGGTGCTACACAGATTATTAGAAATGGGTTAATTAATATGTGAGAGTTAGCCAATAAGGGGCTGGAGACAATGAACCAGGCAGTATTTAAAAGAATATAGTTTCTGTGTAATTATTTCAGGTAAAGCTAGCTGGGTAGGCGGCTGGAAGCAGCCCGCTGTTCCTTTTACAAGACTTTATTAAAATAATAAATAAACACCGGACTGAGCCCCCCATGGTCCAAATGAGGGGCAGAAGGAGGAAGAACATGAAAAAAACTCAGGACCGTGAGGGGTGCGATCACCCACTGATACAAGGGGACTGATCTAATGAGAGTTCACCAAGGCCAGTTGGACTGGGACTGAACGAGCATGTGATCCAACCAGATTTTCTGAATGTGGCCGGATTCTCTGAATGTGGCTGGCACGGAGCCTTTCTGAAAAGCCACTGACAATGACACTGGGACTTGTTTCCTCTGCATATACTGGATTTTTGGGATCCAGTCTGTTCGGATACTCACCTTCAGGGACCTGGAAGGAGGGGGGAGGAACTTGAACTTCCCACAGGGCTGGAAGCCCTGACTGCTCTTAGGGATGGAGAGGGAGGAGGAGGGGGAGGGAGGGAGTGGGAGGGTGTTGGGAGGAGGGGCGGAAACGGAAACTTTCATAATTTAATAAACTTTGGAAAAAAAAAATAAAATAAAATAAATAAAAAACTACAAGAAAACCAAAAATAGATGAGGAGAGCTGGGGAGTATAGTTCAGTTGGTAGAGTGCTTGTTTGCCCAGCACACATGGAGCCCTGGGTTCAAGACCCAGAATGGTTTAAACTGGGTGTGACAGTTCATTTTTGTAACTACAGCCTTCAGTTTAGGAATTCAAGGCCAACCTGGGCTACACAAGAGCCTTTCTTTAAATTAAAAAAAAAAAGCCAGACTGTGGGAGGCAGAAGCAGGCAGATCTCTAAGTTCAAGGACAGCTTAGTCTACAGAGTGAGTTCCAGGACAGGCTCCAAAACTACACAAAGAAAAACTTTAAAAAAAAAAAAAAAAAGGAACAGAGAGAGAGAGAGAGAGACAGACAGACAGACAGACAGACAGACAGAACCCTCACCAGGCCATGAAAAGACAAAGACATAGAGGAAATAAAATACACACTGCACAGGCAGACGAGACAGTAGAAAAGGGAAACTATGGAAAAGAACCAGTGGCTACAGGAGTTCAAGGGTATGAACAGCTGGAACACAAAGCATTTGGGGCACAACAGTAGACATAAGTCACTAGACATTTGTGACTAGCCTATACAATAAATAATACCAAGCACAGACCGTAAGGTAAGCTAAGCATGAGAGTGATGCCATTTGTAGACACAGTGATTATTAACACTCAAATACACACACCACTGCAATGAAGAAGGTAATGTAGTTGGTTATCTTTACTCTTTGCTCTTTGGGGGCCTGCCACTCAGCTCCCAAATAAATACATGGAGACTTATTCTTACTTATGAATGCCCCGCCTTAGCTTGGCTTGTTTCTAGCCAGCTTTTCTTAAATTGTCCTGTCTACCTTTTGCCTCTTGGCTTTTCACCTCTCTTTATTCTATATTTCTTGCTTTCCTTTCTACTCTGGCTGGCTGTGTGGCTGGCCCCTGGCGTCCTTCTCTCATTCTTTTTTTGTTCCTCCCATTCTTCTTTTCTCTTCCTTAGATTTCTCTTCCCATTTATTCTTTCTGCATGTCAGCCCCACCTATTTCTCCCTCCTACCTAGCTATTGATGTTCAGCTCTTTATTAGACCAATCAGGTGTTTTAGGTAGACAAAGTAACACAGTTTCACAAAGTTAAACAAATGCAACATAAAAGAATACAACATGTCTTTGCATCATTAAACAAATATTCCACAGCACACACAAATGTAACACATCCTAAACTAATATTCCTCAACAAGGTAACATTCAAGGAGGTTGTACACATACAGATAAGAAGTATATGGTAGTTTGCCAATCTTTCCCCTCAACTCTGCTATGGACTTAAAACTGCTCTTTAAAAAAATGAAATCTAGGGCTGGAGAGATGGCTCAGAGGTTAAGAGCATTGCCTGCTCTTCTAAAGGTCCTGAGTTCAATTCCCAGCAACCACATGGTGGCTCACAATCATCTGTAATGAGGTCTGGTGCCCTCTTCTGGTCAGCAGGCATACACACAGACAGAATATTGTACACGTAATAAATAAATAAATTTAAAAAAAAAATGAAATCTAGAAGCCAGGCATGTCTAGAGCTTGCCATACGGTTCTGTGGGTCAAGATGCTTGCCGCTAAGCCTGACAAGCCTGTGCTGAATCTCTGGGACTTACATGGTAGAAGCAGAGTAGCAACTCCAGTCAACTTGGACAAGGGTGCCCACATGCATGTATATATATATAGACAAAATAAACAAGTTTTAAAAAGAAGCCTATGCATAAAATGAGTTCATATGATCAATCTAGAGTACATATTATAAGTGGATTGACTTGCTAAGCATGAAAGTCAAACTAAAGGATCCTACTATACGTAAGGTCTTGGGTTTCATCC